TCTCTGCTCGTTGGAGATGCTGACTCGTCGGTGACTTGTGGAACTGTATTTCTTTTCTGCTGCGTGGATTTGATGGAGGAAGGCGTTGGTCGTTGTTGTTCTCGGCTTGTTGTAGAACTAACACTGCCACCAATTACCCACCCTAATTGGGTCTTTTGCAGAAAAAGCTCAGGTCCATTGCGAGGTGAAAGGTCGATTTGCCCGACGCTGAGCAGCGAAAGTGTTATGCCGGTCCCCAGTAGCATGTCGACTGGAGCTGGCTTGTGGAATTCTGGATCAGCAAGTTGGAGATTTGCTGGTATCTGGATAGAGCTCCGGTCGATGTGTTGTTGTGGCTCCTTCTCCGAGATGTGGGGGATAACGAGAAATTCCAGAGTTTTCTCGAATCCGCCGGACTTCGATCGGATCGTTGCCGTGAGCGAGGAAATACTCGACNTCTGGATAGAGCTCCGGTCGATGTGTTGTTGTGGCTCCGTCTCCGAGATGTGGGGGATAACGAGAAATTCCAGAGTTTTCTCGAATCCGCCGGACTTCGATCGGATCGTTGCCGTGAGCGAGGAAATACTCGACGTCGTTAGTTGGTTTAATATTGTAATGGACGTTGAGCATTTCTTCTTGCGTAGCTGGAGCCTTGACGCCAGCCGTTCCGTGATGAAGTTTGCCGTTGAACACGTGTCCAACAGCGTTCTGCATCTTGTTAACTGGTTGAGGTTGTCATAGATTTGTAGTATTGCGGTGGTCATCAGCTGGTTGGATGCTGACTGAGCGGAGAGAGCAGTGCATCCATGGATCTCGGAGGCTGGTCATGCCGGACTGGTCGAGGCTTCACGTGCGTTGTCCGTCGACCTTCGAGATGGTGAACCTCTTGGAGTTCGTGGAACGTGCAGTAGCGTATTGTGATTTTCATCACAAATTCGGCAGCCTGACGCGTTGCATTGCTCAGACGTGTGCCCCTGGCGCAAGCAGTTGGAGCACAAAGATGCCCGCTTCACCGACTGGATGCGCTGGTTCACTGAAAGGGCGTGGAAACCTTCGCATCGGCTGATATAGTGCCCGCTGCGTTTGCAGTAGGAACACTCGGTTTTGAAGCTTTTGGTATTTGTTGCGAACACTTTGGATGGTTTGTTTGGCGAAGAATTTCTTGGCTTAGGAAATTGTCGTCTTGATGAGGTCGGTGAAGTTGGCTTCTTCTTCGTTGGTGAAGCAGTCAACGCTGGATCCGAGGCGACTGATGTCGTCTCCAGGCTTCTCGCTCGTTGTGTGAGGAACTTCATCAACCCTTCGATTTTCGGCAGCTCGTTGTCCTTGAGGGTGTGATCGAAAGTTAGCCTGATTTGTTGCGTGAGCTTGGGCAACAATATGGACAGCAGGAGAGTGTCCCAATGCTCTACTGGAACCTCGAGAGTTTTGAGGGATCGAAGATGTTGTTGCACGTGGTTCACGAATTCTCTCAAGGTAGCAGCAGTTTCCTTGGCTACAGGAGCTGTTTGCACTAAAAGATCCACATGCCGCGTGACGATTAGTCGTTCGTTGGCATACGTTTCTTCTAACAGTCGCCATGCTTGTGTATAGTTGGGCCCAGTGGTTGCCATTGCTCCGATGACCCTGGCCGCTTCGCCGGATACTGCTGATTGCAAATATTGCAATTTTTGAACATTCGACAGGCTCTCCTGACTGTCAATCATGGAGAAGAATTTGTCCTTGAATGACAACCATTCTTCGAATCTTCCGTCGAAGCGTGGCAGGTCTGCCTTGGGCAGCTTGACGAATGGTCCAGATCCTTGCGTGGAGACTGGGGAGTCTCGTTGATCAACAGTGTTGATGGCTGTTGATAGCAGTATTTCGGCTTGAATGACTGCTTCCATGTATCGTTCTTCCATGGTGCTGCGTTCTTCCTCTTGGTCTACGCTTTCTTGAAGGACTTCCAACTCGGCTTGGATGTCGTCGTACGCCCCGTAGACCTCCTTTAGGCGTTGTAGCCTGCAGGTTAAAGCGGTGTGGTTGGGAGCATCCTGATACGTTCGTAGGTACTTTTCGAACAGTGTCAGTTGCGTTTTGATGCCGCCTCTCTTTTGACGTAGAATCTTGACGTGCTGTGAGCTTTCTGTGGCCATGGCTTAGAACGATGAATCACCACAACACAATAATTTCGTTGTTAACGCGGAATTCACGTCTAAGGTCGTCCACAGGTCGCGAAATCCGGCTCGAAGGACCAAAATGTTGAGGTGCGTCGTGTGAGCACCTGATATCGTTATTCCGCGATATTAACTATCTATCGGGTTGTAAGGCCGACTACGCTGCGCGACGGAATAGGACGATATCGTTGTCCGTTTACTTAAAAATGAACAACTGTTTTACTTAATAGTTCGTGAAATGAGACGTAGACTGGAGTGACGAGCGATGTTGAACGATATGAACGAGGTTACGCAGGAGTGAAAAAATGACTGTGAGGTGGTCAAGATTTCTCGTTTTTATATGTTTCTCGCCGAGAGAAAACTTGAAGATCATTGGTTGATCGCGAGGTGGAAAGGGACCTTAGGAGTCCCGGTCGTACCCAGTGTCACAGGTAGCAAGAAATCCCGGAAAAGGCGACCGAAGGGATGCGTGCTGGCGACCCTGTCATAAATTAAGGAACTGTTGCCGATGAAGTGTGCGTTATCCGAAATTGCAGAAATTACTTTATTGCCGGAAAGGAGACGGCGAACGTGACTTTTGTCAACTGCACGTTGAAGGACCGTTAATTTGCCACGCTGCACCGAAGGTTCCCGGTAAACAAACTGTTTTTTAGGGATTGAAGAAAGGTAGTCCGTCCCGGAGAAAGTCGGGCGGACACAGTTGGAAAATTCCGTTACAAGACGGAACATGCTCCCCCCGTTGAGAGGGTACCGATCAATTATAATTCGCTGCCTGCATCAGTTGGTAACGGTGCAAGTTGTCTGATGTTTCGTTTAATATTGCCTTGCACGGTTTGGATGGTGACTGCTCGGATGATGCCGTCTGTACCAGGGTGGACTTCGAGAACCCGTCCGAGAGCCCACTGCATGGGTGGTAGGTTGTCCTCTTTAACGAGAACGAGCGTTCCCATCTTGATGTCATGGCTGCCGCTGGTCCACTTGTGGCGAATGTTTAGCTCATTGAGGTATTCCTTATACCATCTCGCCCAAAAATCACGCTTGAGTTTCTGGAGATGTTGCCAGATGGAGAGTTTGTTCGATGGAGTGGTTGTGAAGTCGACCTCCGGTAATGTGTTGAGTGCGCTGCCGATTAAGAAATGTCCTGGAGTTAGAGCACAAAGATCGTTCGGATCCGAAGACAATGGAGTGAGAGGCCTTGAGTTGAGAATTGCTTCGATTTCGATGATGAAGGTGTTGAGTTCTTCGAAAGTCAGCAATTCGTTGGCTATCACTCGTCTCATGTGGTGTTTGAACGACTTCACTGCCGCTTCCCACAAACCTCCGAAGTTTGGTGACCTTGGCGGAATGAAATGCCAGTTGATCCCTTCGTTGGTCAAGTAGGCATCCACTTTGCGTTGATGATCCTGTGAACTCAGCAGTTGATGAATTTCTTTGAGCTCTCTATTTGCTCCAACGAAGTTCGTTCCGTTATCGGAATAGATGGCATGACATTTCCCTCGTCGAGCAGTGAATCGACGTAAGGCTGCCAGGAAGCCATCGGTGGTCATGTCGCTGACTAGCTCCAGGTGTACTGCCTTCACAGCGAGGCATACAAAGACAGCGACGTAGACCTTGATTCGGTTTCTGTTACGGAACTTCTTCTCCTTGACGAAGAAAGGACCGCAGTAGTCGACCCCGACGTTGTTGAATGGTCGATCTTCGTTGACGCGAGCTTTTGGCAGATCTCCCATCATGCATTCTGTGTTTGGTGGATTTGCACGGAAGCATTTGATGCACTGGCGGATGACCTTCCTTGTTTGGTTTCTGCCATCGAGGGGCCAGTATCGTTGTCGGGTACTGTACAGCGTGGCTTGGACACCAGCGTGCATGCTGCGTAAATGTTCGTTTCGCAAAATGAGCGTTGTCAAATGGTGCGATTTGGGAAGCACGATCGGATGTCGTTGGGAGTATGGGATGTCTGAATGCTTCAAACGTCCTCCCACTCGTATGATGCCGTCTCGGTCGAGGAATGGGTCGAGCGTGTTGAGTTTGCTCTTGCGGTGAACCCTGCGACCTTGAGATAAATCTTGCATCTCTTCGGCGAAGCATTCTCGTTGTGTCAAACGGAGTATGGTTTTGTTGGCGGTGTTCAATTCCTCGGCTGACACAGGTCCCTTGAAGCGGTTGTCCGGTTTGAATCGAAGGCAGTATGCAACGATTCGTTGCAATTTGGTGATCGATGAATACCGCTGCAGTATCTCACACGAAGCTGCTGTCGTTGTGAGTAGACATGTTTTGCTTCTGATTTCCGGTAGCATGTCCAAGGAAGGGAGTTTGAGCTGAGGCCAGAAAGATTCGTCTTGCGATAGCCAACTTGGACCGTGTTTCCAAACGGAGTTTTGGATAAACTCAACGGGCAGTTGACCGCGTGATAAGGCATCGGCAGGATTGTCCTTAGACAGCACGTGTCTCCACATATTGCTCGATGTCTTCGTTTGGATATCGGAAACTCGATTCGCTACAAATGCTTTCAGCAAGTGTGGGGAAGAGTTGATCCAATGGAGGGTGATCGTTGAATCGGTCCAGAATATGGTTTGGTCAATTCTCACGTGAATTGAATTAAGAACGGTGGCATACAATTTGACCAATAATTGTGCGCCGCAGAGCTCGAGGCGTGGTAAGGTGACTGACTTGAGAGGAGCTACACGAGATTTTGCACACAACAATCTGGATTGAATTTGGCCGTTGGCATTGCTGGATCGCAGATAAATGCACGCTCCATAGCCAATCTCGCTGGCGTCGCAGAATCCATGGAGTTGAGTGGCTGCGACGTCCGACAGAAGAATTGGTCGTGGGAAGGCCATGTTGTTCAATAGGTTGAGTTGTGAGCAATAATTTACCCACGTGGAATGTATGTTGTGAGGAACGGATTCATCCCAATCCAATTTGATTTGCCACAATTTTTGCATGATCAGCTTGGCAGTGATGATAACTGGACCAAGTAATCCCAGTGGATCAAAAATTTTGGCAATGTTAGAGAGAATCGTCCTCTTGGTGACTCTCGTATCGACAGCGATCGGTGTCACTGAGTAGACTATGGAATCTTCGAGGGAATTCCATGCCACGCCGAGAGTCTTCAATGTTTTGTCATCGTGGGCTTCGAGCTTGACGTTGACACTGCCTTCCGGAAGTCCTTGAAGGATGGTGGGACAGTTTGATGCCCATTGACGAATGTTAAGACCTGCGTGATGCAACAAGTCGATAACTTCGTCCCGGATGCTGATGGTCTCTTCTACGGTGGCTGCTCCGGTCAACAGGTCGTCAACGTACAAGTCGCGTCTCACGATGTGTCCCGCATACTTGAATCGATGTCCTTCGTCTTCGGCAAGTTGTTGAAGACATCGTGTGGCTAGAAATGGAGCCGGAGATAAACCGAAGGTGACGGTGTTGAGTTTGAAGGTTTTCACTTCGCCTCTTGGATTGGTCCAGATGACCCGTTGAAATTTCCTGTCTTCCTCGCGTAGAAGGAACTGCCGATACATTTTCTCGATATCTCCGGTAAGGACGTAATTGTGAAGTCGAAACCGAAGAATATGCGAGAAAAGATCCTCCTGAATGGTTGGTCCGACCATGAGAGTTTCATTGAGAGAAACCCCTGTGTCGGTTTTTGCCGAACCGTCGAAGACTACACGAAGTTTGGTAGTCATGCTGGTTTCCTTCACGACTGCATGATGAGGCAGGAAAAACCCATGGTTGTTGTTTGGGTCAGTGTCTTCGGACATGTGACCGAGATCCAGGTACTCTTGCATGACTGTGGTATATTGATTTTTGAAGGCTGGATCTCGTTTGAATCGTCGTTGCAGTGAGTTGAAACGTTTGAGAGCTCTGTTATGGGAATGTCCGAGACAAGTTGGATCCCTTTTGAATGGTAGTGCGACGATATATCGGCCGGTGTCATCCCGTTGCACGTTGCGCTGAAAATGCTCCTCGCAGGCTAGTTCTTCTGAGGAGAGATGACGCGTAGATGGTCCTTCTTCGATCTCCCAGAATCTCTTTACGTCGAACTCAAGTTGAGTGACGTGACAAGTCCGCTTGGGGGGTTTGTCTTGGTTCGCTGAAGACTGCACTCCCTTGGTCGGCTGCGTGGCATCGTCTGGCGAATCGTCTGCCTCTCTGCTCGTTGGAGATGCTGACTCGTCGGTGACTTGTGGAACTGTATTTCTTTTCTGCTGCGTGGATTTGATGGAGGAAGGCGTTGGTCGTTGTTGTTCTCGGCTTGTTGTAGAACTAACACTGCCACCAATTACCCACCCTAATTGGGTCTTTTGCAGAAAAAGCTCAGGTCCATTGCGAGGTGAAAGGTCGATTTGCCCGACGCTGAGCAGCGAAAGTGTTATGCCGGTCCCCAGTAGCATGTCGACTGGAGCTGGCTTGTGGAATTCTGGATCAGCAAGTTGGAGATTTGCTGGTATCTGGATAGAGCTCCGGTCGATGTGTTGTTGTGGCTCCGTCTCCGAGATGTGGGGGATAACGAGAAATTCCAGAGTTTTCTCGAATCCGCCGGACTTCGATCGGATCGTTGCCGTGAGTGAGGAAATACTCGACGTCGTTAGTTGGTTTAATATTGTAATGGACGTTGAGCATTTCTTCTTGCGTAGCTGGAGCCTTGACGCCAGCCGTTCCGTGATGAAGTTTGCCGTTGAACACGTGTCCAACAGCGTTCTGCATCTTGTTAACTGGTTGAGGTTGTCATAGATTTGTAGTATTGCGGTGGTCATCAGCTGGTTGGATGCTGACTGAGCGGAGAGAGCAGTGCATCCATGGATCTCGGAGGCTGGTCATGCCGGACTGGTCGAGGCTTCACGTGCGTTGTCCGTCGACCTTCGAGATGGTGAACCTCTTGGAGTTCGTGGAACGTGCAGTAGCGTGTTGTGATTTTCATCACAAATTCGGCAGCCTGACGCGTTGCACTGCTCAGACGTGTGCCCCTGGCGTAAGCAGTTGGAGCACAAAGATGCCCGCTTCACCGACTGGATGCGCTGGTTCACTGAAAGGGCGTGGAAACCCTCGCATCGGCTGATATAGTGCCCGCTGCGTTTGCAGTAGGAACACTCGGTTTTGAAGCTTTTGGTATTTGTTGCGAACACTTTGGATGGTTTGTTTGGCGAAGAATTTCTTGGCTTAGGAAATTGTCGTCTTGATGAGGTCGGTGAAGTTGGCTTCTTCTTCGTTGGTGAAGCAGTCAACGCTGGATCCGAGGCGACTGATGTCGTCTCCAGGCTTCTCGCTCGTTGTGTGAGGAACTTCATCAACCCTTCGATTTTCGGCAGCTCGTTGTCCTTGAGGGTGTGATCGAAAGTTAACCTGATTTGTTGCGTGAGCTTGGGCAACAATATGGACAGCAGGAGAGTGTCCCAATGCTCTACTGGAACCTCGAGAGTTTTGAGGGATCGAAGATGTTGTTGCACGTGGTTCACGAATTCTCTCAAGGTAGCAGCAGTTTCCTTGGCTACAGGAGCTGTTTGCACTAAAAGATCCACATGCCGCGTGACGATTAGTCGTTCGTTGGCATACGTTTCTTCTAACAGTCGCCATGCTTGTGTATAGTTGGGCCCAGTGGTTGCCATTGCTCCGATGACCCTGGCCGCTTCGCCGGATACTGCTGATTGCAAATATTGCAATTTTTGAACATTCGACAGGCTCTCCTGACTGTCAATCATGGAGAAGAATTTGTCCTTGAATGACAACCATTCTTCGAATCTTCCGTCGAAGCGTGGCAGGTCTGCCTTGGGCAGCTTGACGAATGGTCCAGATCCTTGCGTGGAGACTGGGGAGTCTCGTTGATCAACAGTGTTGATGGCTGTTGATAGCAGTATTTCGGCTTGAATGACTGCTTCCATGTATCGTTCTTCCATGGTGCTGCGTTCTTCCTCTTGGTCTACGCTTTCTTGAAGGACTTCCAACTCGGCTTGGATGTCGTCGTACGCCCCGTAGACCTCCTTTAGGCGTTGTAGCCTGCAGGTTAAAGCGGTGTGGTTGGGAGCATCCTGATACGTTCGTAGGTACTTTTCGAACAGTGTCAGTTGCGTTTTGATGCCGCCTCTCTTTTGACGTAGAATCTTGACGTGCTGTGAGCTTTCTGTGGCCATGGCTTAGAACGATGAATCACCACAACACAATAATTTCGTTGTTAACGCGGAATTCACGTCTAAGGTCGTCCACAGGTCGCGAAATCCGGCTCGAAGGACCAAAATGTTGAGGTGCGTCGTGTGAGCACCTGATATCGTTATTCCGCGATATTAACTATCTATCGGGTTGTAAGGCCGACTACGCTGCGCGACGGAATAGGACGATATCGTTGTCCGTTTACTTAAAAATGAACAACTGTTTTACTTAATAGTTCGTGAAATGAGACGTAGACTGGAGTGACGAGCGATGTTGAACGATATGAACGAGGTTACGCAGGAGTGAAAAAATGACTGTGAGGTGGTCAAGATTTCTCGTTTTTATATGTTTCTCGCCGAGAGAAAACTTGAAGATCATTGGTTGATCGCGAGGTGGAAAGGGACCTTAGGAGTCCCGGTCGTACCCAGTGTCACAGGTAGCAAGAAATCCCGGAAAAGGCGACCGAAGGGATGCGTGCTGGCGACCCTGTCATAAATTAAGGAACTGTTGCCGATGAAGTGTGCGTTATCCGAAATTGCAGAAATGACTTTATTGCCGGAAAGGAGACGGCTCGAAGGAATTAGAAATTTAGAAACTGCAGGCGAAGGCTCTACGAAATTGAAGGCCTAACGAACGTGACTTTTGTCAATTGCACGTCGTTCGTTGAAGGACCGTCAATTTGCCACGCTGCACCGAAGGTTCCCCGTAAATAAACTGTTTTTTAGGGATTGGAGAAAGGTAGTCCGTCCCGGAGAAAGTCGGGCGGACACAGCTGGAAAATTCCGTTGCAAGACGGAACAGTTTGTGCCACAGAAAAACATTTGCTCTACTCAAAAAATCAATGCCATACACTTGCTGTATCAACCAAAATGTTTCTGATGCATTTTTACCAAGTTTTGTGTGAAATTTAATATCTGCTCTTTGCTCTATGTTAGTATTTCAACATGGACAAGAAAGTTGTTCAGGGAGAACTATTATAACTTTGCTATTTATCAACCGATTGAACCAAAATTGATACTACCGAAAAGAGGAATGTCACAGCTTTCAAACGCCGGTTTAAAAACATAGATTGCGCTATTTGTTACTGAGATATGGTCCGAATTTCGAAACTTATTTGTCGCACTGTGTATATTGCAACAATGCTACTTCAAGTTTTATATTGTTCAACACCGTGATTACACTTCTAGATCAGTTGTGTCTTAAACGATTTTACAGATCATTCGAGAAAGAGAAGAAGAGGAAATTATTTTTTCTTGTACAGAGTGCCCCAAAAGTCTCGTTAAAACTGAAAATGTATGATGTCTGAGATGATTTGAAATAACTTTCTCCTTTGCGAAAATTTCCTACGCGGCTTTACAATTTATTAACGAAAAAACAGGAACCAATCAGGGGGCGAGTACGGCTGATGCTCTACCTTCGTGTCCAATGTCGTATCAAGCTCGTGCCCTTGCACCTACTAATTAGTAGTAATTACTCTGATTGGTTCGTGTTTTTCGTTAATAACTTGTTAACGAAGCTGTAATCAACATTTTCGCTAACTAAAAAGTTACTTTAAACCATCTAAGATATATCTACAACTTTCCGGTTGTAAGAGAAGTTCTGGACTACCTTGTATATGTGAAGCAAAAAATTGTGAATAAACTCGTGATGTGGAAATCTATTACAATGTGCATGTCGAAAATCAGATCGAGAGTAAAAAACACGTTTTGTTTTTGCGTATTTTGTAGCGTCGAATGATAAGTCATTTAAATACCAATTCAGCATAATATCTATACTTTTTATAGAGTTAATAAATTAATGATCCAGATCAACCGTCAAGAATTTTCAGTTTCTTTTTTTTATTAGTTTTATTTATTGTGATACCATGAATGGATCCGTGTACACAATCATTTTAGATTCATTTTTGTTTACGTATAGACCTCTCCAATCTTGTCGAATGAAGTGGTTCCGCGAAAGCGTAGATTTCAGGTCTGAACAATGTTTTGAAAAATTTAGGGCACACGGTTATTGACGTGGAAAGAGAAATTCAGTTTTATCGCGTTCGAACGACAGAAACGTGTATAACATATTTTTTTGTTTCGGTGTATTTTTTTTTATTGATGTTTCGTTGCACACGGTGTGAATTAGCAAAATGGAAATAAACATGATTCAAAGAAAACGTGTGCATTCATAAAAATGCATTATACTTCTTATCTTATTTCTGGATGTTTCAACATTCACTTTGTCAATAGGAATTTGCGAAAGGATTCACGCAATGAATTTATATTACTTTATAACTCTTTGGTATATTCTATTTCTTTTATCAATTTGTTTATTATTGCATTGACTTTTAAATTCAAAACAACAAAACTTCTAAGTGAGCCAAAATTTTGTGGTGTCAATATACTACTTAATAAAATCCCAGTTGAAACATATTTCAACCAATTTTTTTATTTGAATATTTTATATGTAATAACTAGACTGTTGGTCTTTATACATTTATGGTATGTACAAATTTGTCAACAGAAATGAATTATAGTATCACTTTATGCTGACCTTAAGAAATTTTGCTACTTTGTGCAAGAACTGCATCTATTTTTCTGCCAATAACGGTCACCCACATAACCTTGACATAACGATGACTTGAAAAGAAGGCATACCAGGACATCGTGCTCTATTCCTTATGTAATGAGAGCATACTGTATATTAGTCACTTCAGCGAAATATAATACCATAAAAAACAGATGAGACATTGTTTTTAAATAGAGAAAATGGTGGCAACGCTTATATGTCTTGCGAATACTTTTAATATTTCTTTAATTTCAGGTACTTTTGCGATTGTACGTTTTACTATATTTATTATCTTAGCTTTGAGTATATGTGTTTTATATTGACTTGTTACGGTGAATTTTCCAAATGTGTATACGGTATTAAAGATATCTTGTCATTTATTGTACACTCTTGTGTACTACATGTCAGACTTCCGTTTCCTAGGAAGTCATGCAATCTACTATAAGTGATTCAATTATTTTATATTGTGTACAGTCAGTTAGAAAATTTCACAAGTTGAATGGAAAATTTGATGGCGAGAAACAAATATCTTGTATAATTATACTGAATTTCATATAATTAGGATGACTATTACTTATATTTAGCTAAAAGCATAAATAAATCGGAAACAGAGAAATTCTGTTTTATTGTAAGAATAAAAATGTGTATATTAAAAATTACATTTTAAACTACCTTAAAGTATTAGCGATCTTCAATTATTGAAACAATTGAAATATGCATTTAAAAAAACATGTTGATACGGTTGTTAATACAAATAATGTGCAGACTGAGTCATTTAACTTTTTCGAGTAAAGAATTGTTTAATATAAAGAATCTTTCGAATGACATGATTGAATGTAGCACGTTAGAGTTAAATAAATTTAGGTGGCCCCCATATTCTGATAAAAGAGGAAAATAGCAAAAAAATAATTATTGGCGTTTATGCTCCTCTTTATACCAGATACCTTTCATTTGAAACATTTTTATATGCAACATGTAGTTTATAAAAAAAGTTAAGGTGAAAGAGTTAAATCACTCATCCTCTATGATATTTAATAATATAGGGGATGGTTCAACTAAATGTTCCAACTAAGTTACTTGTACACTATTCGACGTATGAAAAAAATAGTTGAATCAAAGTTTGAAAAAAATTAACAATTATTGCGGTATTTATTGTACTCATTGTACCAAACAGTAGTTTAGAATTACCTACATTAAGAATCATTTGATTAGAACATTAAATTTGGCTTATTACAGTTAAAAATAATTGAAGTTGATCTCCATATCACGATAGAAAAGCATAACGGCAAAAAGCTCATTATTACACAGTATGCCCTTCTGGATATTGTACAATTTTTGTACAATAACCATGTGTGTAAATAATATGTGTAAATAATTTAGGTTCACAATTCTAGGCATACTTGGGGGGCATATGACGACTTTTTTTGTTATAGAAATTTTTAAAAGTCATATATGGAGAGCATTACCCCAGAGACCACTATAACGTCTTTTCATAAGGAGTACGTCTGTTTTGATAAAATTATAAAGGGGTTTAGCAATTAAAGTTAAGTCTGGTACAAATTTACAGAAAGATTTAATTAAGTCATGAAAACGTGGTATATATATCTGTCCAGCAGTAGTGCGTTGCTGGAAACATTGAATAGTATCTACGTTGTTCTTATCTCTACTGCCTCCGTTTTCTGAAATAATAAGCCTAAATATTTAATATTTTGTTATAAAATGTGCTATTTCCGAAAATTTATGTCTTGCTTCAATAATAATGTTAAAACGTCGCGAAAACTATTTATATTCTTTTCAAAAGTGTCGGTGGCAATCGAAACTATGCACAGGATCCAGTCCTCTTTTGACATTGATTCCATGTACAGTTCATCGCCAAAAATGCATGACTGTGTTTTGCATGTTTTAATTTTTAATAACTCTTGTTTTACCTTTTTACTCTTTTGGCATACGACTTTGAAAAATTTTCTTTTTATCATTTTTGTTTTTATTAATTTCTTCCTCGACTTCCTTTCTGTAAAGAGACGAAGTGAGACTTGTTATCTTTCCACCCCTCCTACCTCTTTTTACTTCTCTATCTCTTTCTTAACGGATAGATTTGAGCATCTTAGGCGAAATTAAAAATGCTAATAGGTTGATTTCAATGCCTCTAGATGTCGACTACTGGGATGCGTTATTTTTCGAAAACGATTAGAATAGTTACCGAAACATACTATCTCCACAGCTGTGTGGTTAAATAGTTCGCCTTTTTTTCTTAGCTTTCATTACTCTCCCCGCCAGTGTAGTTTGAGGAACATTATATGCTATCGATGCTGTTCTATAACCCATTTCCTTCATTCTTCTATTGCTTCGGCCATGTTTTGCTTTGACCAGCTTTGCCTATCAGTTTTTCGTTGATATAGTGCTGCGAATGATTATGAACTCAAAGTAACTTTTA